TCCTCAGTGTCTCCAGCCTCTAGGAAGACTTCAGGGTTCAAAGTGAGCACCAAATAATATTCCTGGGATTCAAGAAATGTATCTGTTAAAACCAGAATCTCTTACCCTGTCACTTAGTCCATTGTATTCCATGTGTATGTTTTTAAAGTTTTATACTTATAAAGTCAAAAAATTCCAGTAAATTTTAACATTCAGGCCTATATAAACACCTCAAAGTAAACAATCTCAAAGTGACTTAAATACAACACCTGAATTTGGTTAGTTTGTTCTAAAAATCACATGCCCCACAATCAATCTACAGTCCCATAAAAATCTCCAAAACATGATTATTCCAGAATTTGCCACTGGGAACAGGCCCTTCCTAATATGCCCAGACACATCTCTGAGCTTCGCACTCTGCAAAGTAGCCCTGTGGGCACAAAGACATTCTGAGAGCCACAGTGCTACATTTTGGGCCCTCCACAAAATGCTACCGATGGAATCACCCCATGTTCTCCTACACTATCATATTCCCTTAAAGATATTCACCTTCCTATTTAATGAGTTAGGCCTACGCAGTCTAATCAGTAATCCAATACTGATAGTAAAACTGGTATTTTAAGGCTTCTTGTAAAAAAAAAAATCAATGATATAAAATAAGATCTTTTAGCAAAACTGATACACATTGATTATACCTACACAGATTAAACAGGAAAAATATGCAAATTTACGATTTCATTGTTACCTACGACAAAAGCAAATTAAGTAACCAGCAGAGGGCACTCACAAAAGAGGGGAGGGCTGGTCACAGCCTCAAAGAGCACTGCACTTACTTACCTTACTGTGAAAACAGAGCATTTTCATAGAACACTGCAGTAAGGTAACCTAAGTCTCACCAGCTACAAAAAATGAGGTCTGTATTAACATGATGACTGAAAATCTAACATAATCCTTACACTAGGGTCTTGTATCTGACCATCTAAAAGATGTTTAAAACTGTGTGTGGCGTATCAGGACTTCAACCTTAGCACTACTGACGTTTTGGACCAGCTAATTGTTGTGGGGGCTGTGCTGCACACTTCGGGAAATTTAACAGCATTCCTGGCCTCCACTCCACAGAAGCCAGTAGCAGCCCACTCTCCTAAGGTTGTGGCAACCAAAAACTTCTCCAGAGGATGGCAAACGTCCCCAGTGGGCAAAGTCATCCACCACCCTTCACTGGTAACTACTGACATACACATGTACAAAATCACAAAAACTAACAGCTTACACCATTACATAAAGCTTTTCTTACACCACTCTCCAAAACTGGTTTAGTATTATTTTTCTCTCTATAATTCTAAATACCTTGCTTCTATAACTGACATGGAAAAGAAGAAGAAAGAGAGAATCCAATAAGCCTTGGTAAATAAAGTACCCCATAGTTTAGAACACTGAAGATGGAACACATCAATTCAATTATGAATCCATTCTGCCTTACTGAGTAGGGCATATTACTTGGACTGACTTAGAAGTGGGACATTAACAAGAGCAGGCAGATGTCAAATAACTAGAGCCTCAGAAACAGTTCTTCTTGTTTTGTATTTTTTACTGGCACATTATATCCAGTAGATACTCAATATGTATTTGCTAATTAATCAAGTGATCTTTGTCTATAATTATCTCTAATTTTAAACACAAATTTTACCTTGGAAAAAAATCTCAGGAAGTATGTTTTGGTTACAAGTGATTTCTAAATTATAAAAACATACATTCCTAGCCAAGTATTGTTTGGGGACTTGTTTTGAATGTTTAATAATCTTGTCCTACTAATGAGGTATTTCATTCTCTCTCTGAAACTATTCAGTGGACTTCAAGGGAGATCAACATATGTTCTTTCAGAACAGAATTAAAGGTGATTATCATATGCACAGCCTCAAATATAAACATGCTCCACCTATGTGTCATGCCTAATTCTGCACTGTATCTTGCTAAGTTCAAATTTTGGTGTATTGATAAATCTAAATTAGTCTCTATCATAAATATTTTCTAAACGGGAAAGACAGCTAGTTTTTTACTTTTAGAAAGTTTTACAAGGCTCTGTAGAAATTCTATTTAACTTGGTTTCAGAAAATTTATATTAAAATCTCACCACTTAGCAGCTAAACATCCTTGGATGAGTTAGAACCTCTCCAAGACCATTTTTATGTACAAAATGAAACACTGACCACCCCCTTACCTACCACAGAGTACATCTTTGCAAATTCTTAATCACTAAAAAAATACCGTATCACTTTATTTAGAATGCTTTTAAATTTATTTCCATCTTGTTAACGTAGGAAAACTGATGAGAATTCCAAATGTGTCGAGTCTATATCCACTCTAATTTTCTCTGAGCCCACATTACTGACCAATCAAAACCCAACAACAGCACTGAAATCTTCTGTCCTCCAATTTAACTTTCTACAGTAACATGGATTCAACATTTTGAAATACAGTCAACTATTTATTAAACTACTAGTTTCTTTTGCCTTTCTTATAGTTGAACCAAGAACTGAATACGTCAATTCTGTCATAGACTCACTGTAACTTGGGAGATAAGAGATAATATCAGCCGCCTTTTCCCAGGAGGCTAAACCATGAGAGAATGTCAGTTTCAAAGTTCACAATCAATGCTTCTCAGGGTTAAGACTTCTGGTTTGGCAGGAATCATGGAGTTATACATTTAGGTTTATGAACTTTTTCCACCTTTCTCCCAAATAATAGATTAACTACTAGCTTTACTTCTTTAAGATTCGTATTAACAATTTTGAACAAAAGGTTCCCTAACGTATTTTATCTAATGCGTGCACCTATGATCTCATGCCATGTACATTCATGATCTCTGATAGGAAAAGGTGTAATGGAATTTATTCAGATGTTCAGGGAAGATGGAGAGCACGTCTGTTGAAATCATCTTCCAAAAATCCCAGGAAAATTTTCATGCTTAACCTGAAGTCTATTTAAACCTCCTTTTACATCTGATTTAAATAGTAGAGTAAGCCAAGTAACACTGAAATAAGTGAACTATTCAATTCTTCTTAAAGAAAAAAAAAAAAACTATAGTTCAGGATTAAATTGATTTATCCTAATTAATTAAGTATAAATAAGTAAAACAACATAAGAGGTCACATCAGACAACTGCTCCCCTTTAAACTTGGAAGCCAAATAATAATGACTTTTATGTACCTTTGGAAATACACATTATTTTTCCACTTCTTTGTAGTACCAAGCACCCTGACATTTCCTTCAGATTAGTTATCTAATTGATCCTCAGAGTTCTGAGCTATGGGGCCAGTATCGTGGCACAGCGGGTAAAACTGTGGCGTGTGGTGCTGTCATCCCATATGGGTGCTGGTTCCTCTCCTGGCTCCACTTCAGAACCACCTCCCTGCTAACGGCCTGGGAAAAGCAGTGGAAGATGGTCCCGGTGTTTGGGCCCCTACCACTCCCATGGGAGACCTGGAAGATGGTCTTGGCCCCTAGCTTCAGTCTGGCCCAGCCCTGGCTACTGCAGCCATTTGGCGAGTGAACCAGTGGATGGAAGCTCTCTCTGTGTATCTCTCTCTAACTCTTTGAGATAAATAAATCAATCTTTAAAAAATAAATAAATAAAATGTTCTGAGCTACGTAAACATTTTCCCAAGGCCACCAATGCCCTCAGAATCTACCTCAGTGCAAAGTACTTCTAAGACACTGCACAGCACAGTACCTTACATCCTGCATTTTGACCTGTTCTAGATTCCACAGCTTTGGACTTAGAGAAAGTCCTGGGAAATTCTTCAGAACTTAGAAAATCTGTATATCAAATCTAGAACAAAAACTAAGTGATTATGATTGATTAACCTGCGGTAAAGAGAACTAAGAAATAATCCAGGCCGGCGCTGCAGCTCGATAGGCTAATCCTCTGCCTGCGGCGCCGGCACACCGGGTTCTAGTCCCGCTTGGGGCACCAGATTCTGTCCCGGTTGCTCCTCTTCCTGTCCAGCTCTCTGCTGTGGCCCGGGAAGGCAGTGGAGGATGGCCCAGGTGCTTGAGCCCTGCACCCACACGGGAGACAGTGTAACAACAGATGGAAGACCTTCTCACCTCTCTCTCTCTGCCTCTGCCTCAAACTCTGCCTTTTAAATAAATAAATAAATCTTAAAAAAAAAAAAAAAAAAAGGCATCAGATGGGGTGGGTGCTGTGGCACAGCAGGTTAAGTCGAGGCATGGATGTCTACTTCCCGTATGGGAGTGCCTGGATAGTCCTGCTTCTGCTTCTGACCCACCTTCCTGTTAAGATGCCTGAGAGATAGCAGACAACAGCTGTGTACTCGGGTTCCAGCCACTCACATATGAAATCCAGATGGAGTCTCTGGCTCCTGGCTTCAGTCTGTCGCCAGGCATTTGGGAAGTGACCCGCGATGGAGGATCGGTTTCTCAATCTCAAACTTAGACTCTCTTTCCTCACCACCCCCTCCACCCCATCACTCTGTGAAATAAATAAATAAACAAACAAACCTTTTTAAAGAAATGCACCACGTAGTGGTAGATCTCCAATACTTTATCGTTGAGAGGAAAATATTCCCAATTAAATTTTAAAAGCAACCATCAAACTTCAAATGACTGCATTTCACTAGTACAATTCAGTCAAACCTCTACATATGATGTTAAAATATGAACTTTAAAAGTTACATTTCTCAGGTACAGTTAAGATGCAAATTCACATTTTTATTCTCACAAAAGCTCTGAAGCACACACTCCCAATCAGAATGCCCATAAAATGAAACAGCGCAAACATAATGAATCTTGATACTCTCTAAGACACTATTCAGAGGCAGGTGTCACCACACCTCTCATTAGATATAACTTCGGTGGAAGCCTTGAAACACAAACACATTTCAAATAACTTTGTCCGTATAATTAATTACCCTCTAATAAGTACTCACAAAAATGATCAGACAAACCTTTTTTGGTATCAAAGGGTGGTCCTGCACAACATATATTAAAATAAGATTTACCTCAATTGTAGGGTCATATTCATCCACAAAGTGATTCTGAATTAGCTGTATCGTCAAGGCACTCTTGCCTACGCCACCAGCTCCAACTACCACAAGTTTATATTCGGTCATTTTCAGCAGGCCTTATAATAAAAATAATGAAAATGTGACTAAATTAGAATGTATCACTCATAACGTTAATATCCTATCAAATTATCACCGCCTTTTAACAAAGTCACCTGTATATGAAACACTCTAAGAGATTTTTTGAAATGCAATGATAAAAATTCCGTGATGCAAACTTCAGCTGACTCCAGATATGTATTAGGTGATATGAACCTCATCTACAAACTCCCTCACCGACATTTAAGAAACACGCACACCAAGTACATAGACAGTTCCTTTAGGTCATTCTAGCTCAAAAGTCACACTGCTGTTCTATGGCAGCTCCGCGTGCCATGACTTCACAGGGTGCGAGCGGCTAGCCCAGCTCCTTACACCCTGCAGACACGCCCACACAGACTTGCTGACAGCCAGCTCCACTGCTGCCGCTGCAGTGCTCCCAGTCCACTGTGGCCTCTAGAGTTTGAAGTGGACCCTGAGTGTCTCTGCTGGGCAGCCAACAGCTAGGAGAGCTTTTCTAATGCATCTCTGTGCTCACTCTCCATAGTATCAGCAATCAGATAGGGGTAGGAGGGGCAAGTCAAGTAAAGCTGGAGCGTGCCATGGAGGAATAAAATTTAGACAATGAAGAAGATAAAGACAGTATCTGATGATACTTGAATCTGTAAAATATTTCCTGGGGAAAACAAAGGCAAATACCAAGAGATCTTTGCAAACTGTAAGTCAGCTGCTCAGTAAAGGTGATGTGATAACCAATCACAATATATGATCCTGTATTAGTGCCGTAAAACAGCACTAACACTAGAAAAATATAATTAAATAAAATTTAATGACAAACACTGCTTTCAGTAAAAAAAATGAAAGCTGTAAGTGAATATTGCTCAGTAATTTATGTGACTTTTACTCTTGGCTTCTCTTAAATCTTCTCCCAACAGGTTCAATAAACACAATATGTACAGTTTCATGCACAAGCTAGAGAATATTTTATTTTGAACTTTTTCAAATAATATAGTTGACTGTTTGAACTTTTTCAAATAATATAGTTAATTTTATCTCCTTTCCCTTACGTAACAAGTTATTACAAATAAGAAGTACAGTGCAGAAATGGCAATAAATTTACAATGATTTTTTAATAGGGTAAGCAGTTCCAGATCCACATGTATATACTGTAGATTAAACAAAATACATGTACTATTCTATTTCCTGAAGGCCAAGAAACATCCCAAACATTACACCCCACTGACCCCCAGAGAATGCTCACCAGGTTTCCAAATACCACATTGACCTCCTCACCTTGCTCTTGAGCCCCTCCCAGAGAGTGCCAGAAGCTACACACTGTGTGAGTAGCATGGGTATCTTCGTACACCTCCCAGCCTCTGCTCACTGTGTATCTAGGACAGAACTGAAAGCTACCTCACATCTCTTACTCTGCTTGCCCAGTCTTCTCCCAGATGTAGGCAACCTGCAGAAGGGATCCCACCAAAGAGAATCCCACCAAAATGTTTTCTCTAGCTCCCTGCCACCTCAATGCCCACAGCAGACTGGCCGGCCCCAAAGAGCTGTTCTGAAAATGTGGGCCGCGGAACCCCCCAGGTTCCCAAGACTTCTTTTAAGGCCTAAGAGGTGGAAACTATTTTCATTACAACACTAAAATGTTATTTGTCCTTTTCACTCGCATTCTTTCACGAGTGTACAGCAGAGTTTTCCAGACCTATAATCACAATGAACTGAATGGAGAGGCAGATAGGAGAATTCAGATGTGTTCCATTAAGCCACATAATTAAAGGATTTATTAAAGTGTGAAACAGCTCCATTCTTACTTATTTTTGGTTATGATCTGGAAAATAGTTTTCAATAAAACATTTATTCATGTTACCAAGTAATGAGCTTATTATTTCTATGTCTAAATGAATTCCCAGATTTTTAAAATTCTCAGTTTAATTTCCAATGCAGTAAATATTGACAATACCTCCTGATACAACAATTTTTGATATCCTCAATATTTGTATGAGTGGTAAAGGGATCCTTATGGCCAAGAAATGTGCTGACCCAGGAGGTACTGTGAACAGATAGATTACAGTTTAGTTATATACATATGTGTGAATTCAGAAACACACACCTTTTGGTCTATGTGTTTATGCAGTGGTTGTTTCTAGCACAAAAAAAAATTACTAAATCACTTTCTCAATCCAAGTAATATTTAGACCCTTTAGAAAGAACTAGGTAGGTCTCCACAGAGTCTTACTGATGGAAGATCACAGGCCAGAAGAGGCCGCTTGCCCAAAATTACAGCAGCTAGCAAGCGGTGAAAGTGGGACTAGACCCCACGGAACTGCCATCCACCACCTCGGCGCAGGAAACACGCTCGTGGATGGGGCCAGCCTCAAATCCAACAGTGCAGACAGCGACCATTTTTGATGTGCACAGCCTATCCCACGTCGGAGTCAGCACTGGGGACCTGAGAGTGACACCGGCCACACGGTTATTTCTGAGGCCCTGACCACCAACAGACTTTGAAAAATCAAGGTCTAGCCCAGCCGTATAACCCGCAAAGCCCTCTGCTGTTAACCCCTTGTTCTGAAGGTTCAAGCCAGCTGGCCTGGGCCTCCAGCTCTAAGGACCTGAGAGTTTACAGGGGGCCGGTTACTACAATGAACTCCTGGCGTGAGTCAGTTTTTTTTTTTTTTTAATTGCTTTTTAGGAGTACTGCGGTAACTCCTGGGATAGGGAGAAGGGCAGCCAAGACGAGCCAAAGCAAGCGCCAAGCACAGGCAAATTCAACTTCAAGTACTATGAGAGCTACCGGGGTCTACTACTGCACTGGCCAGGAAAAAAAAAAAAAAAAAGCCCAGCTTCTGCTCGGCGGGTTTCCTCGCCGTTTTTTTTCACCCGACAAAGCAAAACAGACCTTCTGGGATTAACTTTTTCCTTTCCGCCGCGGGCCCCCGGCTCTACGTGGAGGGCGTGGGCCACCTGTTCTTCCACCACCATCACCACCTCCTCCTTTGTGACCACGGCAATGTCACAGCTCACACGGGGGGGGGGAGGGGAGCCGCCAGGAACTCGGCGGGCAGGGGCAGTTCTTGCTGCACAATAACCTCCGGCAGCGGTCTCGGAGCGCGTGCAGGCCGGGGACGCCCCCCGCCCGACCCGCACGCCCCGCACGCCCCGCGCCGCGCCGCCCCGCCGCCGGGACCTCTCCCCCGCGCCAGCCTGCGCTCCCGGGGCAAGTGCGGCGGCGTGCCCCGGAGATGCAGCCGGCGGCCGCCCAGCCAGCGCCGGGGAGCGGGGCAGAGGGGTGCGGGAGCCGGGGCCCCGGCGAGCGGGAGGGGAGGGGGAGGGGAGGCCGAGCGCGGCGGGAGTCACCTCCACCGCGCCCGGCCGCCTCCCGCCGCGGCTCTCGGCGAGGAGGAGGAAGGAAGGGGTTCCCCGTCCAGGAAGCTGCACCAGCGGCGGCCGCCGCTAGCCTCACCCTCCTCAGCCCCGCACCGCCCATGCCTCATTCCCCCCGCGTCGCCGCGACCCCCCCCCCGCCACCGCGGACGCCCGCGCGCGCCCCCCGCCGCCTCCAGGCTCCTCCCGGGACCCCCTAATTCATTCGCCCGCCGCCGGCCGCGCCCGGCGCTGAGGGTCGAGACCCGGGCAGAGGGGCCCGGGAGGGGTGGTCCGCTCCCTTACCTCTCCCCTGCACCTGGGAGCCGCCGAGCCTCAGGCCCCCGCCGCAGCCCTCAGGGCCCGCGCCGCAATCGCTCCCAGTCCGAAATGGCGGGGGCCGGGAGTCCTGGCCGAGCAGCCGCCACCGCTGCTGCCGCCGCCGCCGTCGCCGCCGCCACTACCACCACCGCCGCCACCACCGCCGCCGCCGCCGCCGCCACAGCCGCCGCTGCTGCTGCTGCCGCTGCTGCCTCCGCCGGGGAAATCGAGCTCCGAGCACACCGATGAGTTCGGGGCCGGGCGGCCGCAGAGGGCAGAGCTATCGATGTGTTCCACGCTCGATTCCTCTCCAGACCGGCGCTGAGGAGGGAGCGGCTGAGGGCGGTGTGGGAAGAGGGCGGAGAGGGAGGCCGCGCGCGCCGCCGGGGAGGCGGGGCGGAGGCTGGCCCCGCGGGGGAGGGGGCGGCGGGGCGGCGGGGCGGGCGGCGCCTGGGCGGGAAGGAGCGGCTGTGGGACCCGCGCGGCAGGGTCGGACCCCTGAGACGTCGGCGCGCCCTGCCCGCGTCCACACCGAGGAGCCCTGGGGACCCCCGCAGGGTCCAGCACAGCCCTTTCGTGTCGTCACCTGCATGTCCGTGAACAGGCAGTCGCCAAACGTGGGAGGCGACAGTGGTGGCTTCGGGAGAGGCCCGGGGCTTCGTGATCGCCGCCCGAACGCACGCCACAGACCCTGTCTTGGTCCTGGGGATCCGGGTTGGTTTGCTGTGTCTCTGGGGCTTCGAAGCCAGTGCACAGTCTCCGAGGAAGGGTCTCCGAGGTCCCCGGTGCCCCCCGGAGCCCGAGCGGAAGGCGAACTCTTTTTCTGTGCAAGTACCCAGGGCAGTTTAGACTGGCGGAGAGCCGCTCCAAGGTTCATTAGGAGGCTGGGTAATGAGCTAAGGAGGTCAGACATGAAACAATGGGGGCGATTAAACGCCTTAGCGAGCCCGGAGTCTACCTGCAAAGGCCCCTGGGAGAGCTGGAGGAATTAAGCAGGCCCTCTGCTTCCAGTGCTGTCCCTCCAGCCCACACCACAAACCAGCAATTCGGTTATTTTAGATCCCAGCCATTATGTCTGCTAACCAAGGCTTGACATCAGCGATCGCCGTTTTCTTTCTCTGCGTGTATGGGCTTTAATCTGCACGACTTTTATTCCAGCCTCCCTCTCCCAGCACCAGGTGGGAGGCAGAAGAGACAGGTGGAAGACAGGGAAGGGAAAAGGCTGTGCCTACTCCGTGTCAAGTGTTGGCAAAATGTTTTGCACATATCATCTTATTTAATCATCACAACAACCTCCTCAGGTTGACTAGTTTTCACTTTCTTTTTAGAGGAAGAAACTAATTTAGAAAGGTTGAAAAAAAGTGGTCTAAGTTCACTTAAGTTAAAATGTGAATGATTCTTCATGGCAGATCATGGTCGATCCTAACCCCCAGCGCCTCCTATCCCACTTAACATAAAAGCAAAATTCTTCTGCACATCCTACATGACTTTAGGTTATCTGATGCTCCCGACTGTAACTTCTCTGAACTCTTACCCTGGTACTCTCCTTTCTTTGCTTCCATTCGTACCCACTGCTGGCTGGCAGCCTCCCCTGAAAACACTCCTTCCTTTACACAGAACGTACAGGTTCTCAAGGATAAATGCCTCCTGACTCACTGACTAAAAACTGCACGTTCCTGGGCCCCTCACCTAGATTCTCCATTCAGCTGGTGGAAAGTGGACTAGACATCGTCATTTTTTTTATTATTATTTTTGACAGGCAGAGTGGACAGTGAGAGAGAGAGACAGAGAGAAAGGTCTTCCTTTGCCGTTGGTTCACCCTCCAATGGCCACCACTGATCTGAAGGCAGAAGCCAGGTGCTTCTCCTGGTCTCCCATGGGGTGCAGGGCCCAAGCACTTGGGCCATCCTCCACTGCACTCCCTGGCCACAGCAGAGAGCTGGCCTGGAAGAGGGGCAACCGGGACAGAATCTGGCGCCCCGACCGGCACTAGACCTGGTGTGCTGGCGCCGCAGGTGGAGGATCAGCCTATTGAGCCTCGGCACCGGCCTAGACATCTCCATTTTTAACAAATCAGGTGATCCTAAACTGCTGGTCAGCCGTCTGCCCTCTTGAGAAGCTGATCTAGATACTCAAATTCTTTAAAAAAAAAAAAAAAAAAAGATTTATTTTATTTATTTGAAAGAGTTAGAGAGAGAGACAGAAGGGGGGCGGCATAGTTTCTATCTGCTGCTTCACTCCCCAAATGGCCGCAACAGCTGGAGCTGAGCTGATCTTAAGCAAGGAACCAGTAGCCAGGAGCTTCTTTCTGGTCTCCCACATGGGTACAGGGGCCCAAGAACTTCAGCCATCCTCCACTGCCTTCGCAGGTGCAATAGCAGGGAGCTAGATGGGAAGCAGAACAGCCAGGACTTGAACCGGTCCCCACAATTGATGCTGGGGCTTTAACCCACTGTGCCACAGCGCAAGTTCTTGACTCCGTGCCCCTCCTGACTTCGGGGTCACCTGCCTCAATTCTGGCAGCTGTGATAAGTGGTCCCTTGGCTCTTCTTCCTTCGGCTCTCCCCAAGGGCAAGCATTTGGGCCTGTACTGCGGTCACGAAGAGAAACAGCAGAGGGAAAAACCAGGTAGAAACGTGGGGTTTCCGGCCTCACTCTAAGATGTAGCTGCAGTCTCTGCTCTCTATGCTGACTGTTCAGGAAAGGCAGCTACATACACACATGCATACATCCTTGATCTGCAGTATGAAGACCATGCTCACCCTTTCCTCTACAAGACTGGCTCTACTGCAGACAGAATGAAAGCTAAAACAGCAGAAGTCCCCTTGTGTTCACCGGCTTCCTGTGAGATGCAAAATACAAGGACATGGCAAGCGCTGAGTGGAAGGAAACAGATACTTGAGAAAACCCGTGTGACCATCCTGAGATCGCTTTGTCCAGGAATCAACTGCGCTTCCTGTGACCCAGCAATGGGCTGTGGTGCCCGGCTCATCGCCTCGTGAAGCACCTGTTGCCTGTAACTCGTAATTTTGCCGTTCTCACGAGCCAGCATCTCTGCCGATAGTTCACGTACAGTCCCATCTGCCCCGCGAGCTGTACCTCTGCTGACCGCTCTCTGAGACTTACATCCCAAGCAAGAGACAAGATCTCACCGCACCTGCCATTCACTTCCTTCAACAGGAAGGGCCTTTGTGGGACTCCACTTTCCTGATTGGTAGCTGGCCTTCTTTATGTCTGGCTAAAAGACCATTGCCTTCGTTCGTGTGCCAGCCTTGGGTCTGAACAGTTGCGTAACTGGATACAGGGATACAGAGTCATGGGATACAGGGCCAGGGCACTTAAGCAGGAGGGAAACCTATGGATGCTTTCATGGACTCTGCTTCTCTACAGCGTATTTTCTCCTGTGGGAAGTCTGTTGAAATGAATAGGTGCTATTTGATTTGCCAACACTGTATCCCCTCTAGACACTTATTTCATTAGGCTTCTTATTCCTTTTGTGCATAGCTGTTTTCTTTCCCTGCCTCCTCTAACTGTAGTCCCATAGCTCTTAGCTTGCAGTAGATCCTCCGTAAATATTTGTTGACATGCATGAAACTGTAACAAAACTTCTGCTCGATCTCTTCAGGGTCACTTCATTCTCAGTGAGCCAGTTTCCTGGATCATTTCGGGAGGAATAGCCTGTCATCATCCCAAAGGCTTGCCTAAAACCAGGCTCCCAGTCTTGTTCCTCAAGCCAGCGCACACTTCCAATGCTTCCATCTGATCCGAGCGGGATCACAGACCTTCCGAATATTTACACTGAAAACTTAAATTCTTAATCCAGTCTCACTCAAAGCGGTTAGAGCTCCTTTCAATTATGCTCCCTACGTATTTTTCTCATCTCTGCCCTTTGACATTCCTCCCTTCACAGCTACATTTTCTGGAACAGCTTCCTCATTACTTCTCTGCCTCCTGGCTTTGTTCGTTTCAGTTCAGGCCATGTGCAACTGCCAAATTAACCTTCCTTGTGCATGTCTTTCAACATCATCAAACATTTACTCTGCACCTCCTCCATCAAGGCTGCACACAGAAAAGGTACCTGGTTTTAAAGTGCAAAGAGTTACAAGCTGAGTACCTAATGAGTACCTAACGATGATAAGTACCTGGGAAATTATAGGGGAAAATGATCACCGGTCTCAGCTAAGCCTTCACGCAGACTTAATCTTGCTTACAAATATTTAGTAATGTCTTACATCCCGCTGAATCCACTCCAAATCTGTGGTGCCCAGCTTTTGAGAACATCTATCGTCTGGCTTCATCCTGAGCCTGTGACTTTGTTTCCAAACTCCTCAAACACCGTATTTTGCTTTCCTCAAGCAAATCCCCTTCCCATGTCATGAGAACAGGATATCGTGTGTCTCTGCTCCTTCTCTCACCTAGCACACTTTGCCTCTGTCTTTGTTAAAATTCTTTCTCATTCGAGGTCTAACACATGTCCTACCTTCTCTGTGAAGGCTCTGTTGTACTCTCTCTCCATCATTTCATATGGGTTCACTGTGTCTCCCCAAGTAAGATGGGAAATCCTAGAGGCCACAGCCATATCGCAGGTGTGTGAACCCCACCTTCACTGCAATTACTCAATAACTACATGAATGCACACAATGTACTTATCAGCAAGGTCAACACGATGAGAGCAGTGTTTGAGGAAGATTAGAAGGGCAGCTACTTGCAGTGAAGATCAGAAGGAACAAAGACCTCAGGTAAGGCGTTTTGTGGATGGCATGACAGTACGTTAAGGCAGTAAGCATGGTGCCACCATTGGCCTGATTTACTACTCCCACGAGCTAGAGCAAAGCTGTGAATGTGGGCAGGCTTCACATCTAAGAACGCAGTAATGACCCAACAACTACCATTTAGAAAACTCCTAGGACTCAAACATGGCCCTGCCGACCAGTCCCTGTCTTTCAGGACTCAGCCTGCCACCACCGTGTCACTGAGAGATTCCCCCCTGCATCCAGACTAAATCAGAACTCCCCACTGCATCCCTGTCTTCTTTTTACAAATTATTTACCTATCTATTTGAGAGGCAGAAAGAGAGGGAGACAGATATAAAAAACTGCTGGTTCATTCCCCAGATGCCCACCAAAACCTGGGCTGGGCTGGCCCAAAGCCAGGAGCCAGGAACTCCATCCAGGTCTCCCATGTGAGTGGCAGGAACCATTATAGCTGCATCCCAGGATCTGCATTAGCAGGAAGCTGGAGTTGGGAGTCAGAGCCAAAGTAACCAAACCCAGATACTCCAATGAAGATGTCCTAACCAGCATCTTTGAAGATTTATTTCTTTACTTATTTGAATATCAGAATTACAGAGAGAGAGGGAAAAAG